AGCGGAAGACAGTGGGTGCGTTGGGGGGCCCCCGGGGGGCCCCACGCTGCTGCAGCAGCCGGAGCAGCAGCAGCAGCAGCTGCTGCTGCTGCTGCTGCAGCAGCTGCTGCTGCTGCTGCAGCAGCTGCTGCAGCGTGTTTAGTATATTTTGTGTTTATGTTTTCTTCGTTTTTTGGCGTCAGCACCTGCTGCTCCAGTGTACAGACGCAAGCCCCCCCAAACCCTAAACCCTAAACCCTAAACCCTAAACCCTAAACCCTCGGCTCGTAAACCCCCGACTGCAAACCCTAAACCCTCAAAGTATGGGGTGTTAAGGGTTTCTCTGTCTTATGCGATTCTTCAGTTGAGGCCTCAAGGCCTCGCCATCATCCTGCCAGCTGCTGCTGCTGCTGCTGCTGCTGCTGTTGCTGCTGCTGCTGTTGCTGCTGCACCACAACGGTCTCGTTCCTATACATACAGCAGCACAATCAGCAGCAGCAGCTGCAGCAGCAGCAGCAGCAGCAGTGTCTCACTCCCTGCAGCAGCAGCGCTTCCGTCTCTCCCCCCGCAGCCGTAGCTCCAGCAGCAGCAGCAGCAGCAGCAGCAGCAGCAGCAGCAACAATAGCAGCAACAACATAATCCCAAGCATCAGCATCAGTAGCAGCAGCACCTTCCTCCTTCTCCTCCTCCTCCGCAACAACAGCAGCAGCAGCAACAGCAGCAGCAGCAACAGCAGCAACAGCAGCAGCAACAGCAACAGCAGCAGCAGCAGCAGCAGCATGGCTCCGCGTCTCTCCATATCTCGTGAGCAGCGTGGTACGTGGTTAGGGTTTATAGGGCGGGGGGTTTGTTTGTTGACGGGCGGGGGTTTAGGGTTTAGCTTCGCCTGCCCCGACAAAGACACTGCGTATGAGGTCTTCCCGCTGCAGTCGCAGCAGCTGTACATACACCTCAGCAAGCTGCATGCGCTGCAGCAGCAGCAGCAGCAGCAGCAGCAGCAGCAGCAAGAAGAGGAATGCATTGAACATATCAAAGGGCTACATAGGTTCTTTCAGCAACAACCAGGTATGGTGCTGATGCTGTTGCTGCTGCTGCTGCTGCTGCTGCTGCTGCTGCTGATTATGATGTTGCTGCTGATCATGTTGGTGTTTCTGCTGCTGCTGCTGTTTCTGCTGCTGTTGCTGATGATGATGGTGATGATAGTGCTGCTGCTGCTACTGCTGGTGTTGCTGCTGTTGCTGCTGACGATATTGGTGTTTCTGCTGCTGCTGCTGATGATGATAATGTTGCTGCTGCTGATGTTGCTGCTGTTGCTGATGCGATTTCTGTTGTTGCTGCTGCTGCTAGTGCTGCTGCTGCAGCTGCTGCTGCTAGGGCTGCTGCTGCTGCTGCTGCAGAGGCGTTTGTGTTGCTGCCGGCTGCTGCAGTGTCCTTATAGATCATCTTGTTGCTGCAGCAGCAGCAGCAGCAGCAACTTGCTGCAGCAGCAGCAGCAGCAACTTGCTGCAGCAGCAGCAGCAGCAACTTGCTGCATCTCCTCTCTGTTGCTGCTGCTCTTTGCTGCTGCTCAGGGTACCTCTATTCCCGCCTTCTAAAACTCGACGACACCAGCAGCAGCAGCAGCAGCAGCAGCAGCAGCAACAGCAGCAGCAGCAGCGAGCTCCCTCGCTTTGTTGTTATGAGCTCCTGGCTCACCCCACAAGACTATAACATTGCCTGGGCAAAGGCAAAGGCCATCGGCTTACCCCAAAAAATACAAGCGGGGCCCCCGGGGGGGCCCCCCCCTGCAGCAATGTATAAACGTGTTGCAGATGACTCGGAATACTCACCTACTGTTTAAACCCTAAACTCTAAACCCTAAACCCTAAACCCTAAACCCTAAACCCTAGGAAAGGGGTATCTTGTTGACGCTGTATAGATAGATAAAAGGGAGCGGGGATGGGGGGTTAGGGTTTATTAGGGTTTAGGGTTTGGGGGGTTAGGGTTTAGGGTTTAGGGTTTAGGGTTTAAGGTTATGGAGATACAGAAAAGAGATAGAGAAAGAGACAGATAGAGATAGAATAGAGAGAGAGACAAAAAAGGAGACAAGAGACAGAAATACAAAAAAAAAGAGAGACAAAAGAAAGAAAAACAAAAAAAAATAGAGACAGAAACAGAGACAGAAAAAAACAGAAAAGAGGAGACAAAAGGAGAGACAGAGAGACAGAAAAGGAGACAAAAAAAAACAAAAAAAAAGAGACAACACAAACAAAACAACTGAGAGACAAAAACAAACAAAGAAAAAACAAACAATAAACAAAATAAAATAAAATAAAATAAAATAAAATAAAATAGAATAAAATAAAATAAAATAAAATAAATAAACAAAATTAAATAAAATAAAATAAAAATAAAATAAAATAAAATAAAATAAAATAAAATAAAATAAAATAAAATAAAACAAAATAAAATAAAATAAAATAAAATAAAATAAAATAAAATAAAATAAAATAAAAAATAAAAAATAAATTTTAATAAACAAATATAATAAAAAGGGACAGACAAAGAAAAACACAAAATAAATAAATAAATAAAAAAGAAACAAAAACAAACAATAAAGAGACAAACAACAAAAGAGGAGACAAACGCATGCAAAAGAAAAAAGAAAAAGGAGACAGAAAAAGGAGACAGAAAGGAAACAAACAAAAAAAACAAAAAGATAAAGGAGACAGAAAGGAGACAAAAAAAAGAAAAAAAAACAAAAACTAATTAAAACATGAATGCATCTACAGCTGCTGCATCTGGGGTGTATGCTCAGTCTCCTGCTGTCAGGCTGCTGCTGCTGCTGCTGCTGCTGCCGCTGTTGC